CCACATGTCGACAATTTTAAATTCACGAGGGGCCCGCCATGCATTGTGAGAGGGGGGACACCATTTGGTAACCCCCATTTAGTCATATGGAATAATCCTTGTAATGAAGATAGTATAATCCTACTGCAAGTACACTTTGGTTGACACTTTGTATGTAGTATTATTCAATTCGATAATTTAAATTTCAAACTGTTTTTATCCAATTAACACTTGGCAACAATGTAAGTTCAATCAAAGTATAAAAATTTAGTGTGTAAAAATGGCAAAGCACATTGGAAAAGAGTGGTGTCACAATGTATTGGAAAGGAAACAATTCCCAAATTTCAAAGAAATGGAAATGTGTGAAATTTTCTTTTAAGGGTGCATTTAATTACAAACATAGAATTTACATAGAAAGAAAATAAATTCTAGACAATTTAAAACTTATTTGCATGAAAATTACCAATTAAATATATTTGATTGATTTAGTTTTTAATCTAAAAAATATTATACTTGTCCTTTTTTATTGGTGGATAAATGAGAGAGTGCAGATAGATGTGTGTGTGAGAGAGAGAGAGAAAGAGAGAATTTCCTGAAAAATAAAATCTTACTCATTTTTTCTTTGATTTTGAGGAAAATATAGTCATGTGACCAAAAGTAAGAAAATGTTTTCCGTGAAAAAATATCAATCAAACAATATGAAATTGAAATTTTGGATGGAAAAAACGCATTTTTCATGAAAAATATTGGTAAACAAACACACCCTAACATCATAGTCCCAAACAAGAAAACAGAATAGACAAAAGCAATTTTTCTTTTCAATAGTATATTTTTTACTATAGAAATTCTCACTGTGATTATATTGATATCACAATTTTTATTTGATACACTACATTTTAATTGGAGTTAAGCTTGCTCAATTTTTGTTCATTGTAACAATTATTTTCTGAACTTTTTTTTGTCGAATTCTTATTTTTAACATTCTTTTAATTAGTATGTCTCGTCCCTGATAATAATTTATATTAAAATATTTTATTTTCATGCTTTGAAATGAGGGGAATTTTTTTTTTTTTGTACTTTTTATTCATTTATTTATTAAAAATATGATGGGAACTAAGATATTTTACACCATTTCAACTTACTTTGGACATTAAACTATTATAAAATATTAAATGTGTTAACTAATGAAAAATTTGTGGATACGAATGACATGAAAAATCGTTAGGTACATAAATACTATAATTTGCAAAAATTAAGGATGTTAAGTGTAATTAAAATGTGATGCAGAAAATAAAAATTGTTGTGTGAATGTAACTAGTCAAATTCTTATATAGCATGGAAAAATGCTATTTATATAGGTCAAATGTGTCCCTTTTCTTCCTTACAATCGAGAAGGATATTATAAATTAGTTTGACTTATGAATTTAGCATTTGCTCTAAGTATTTTTATTTATTTATTATTATTATTATTATTGAAACTAGCATATTAATACTTAACCTTATCTTGATTCAATTTGAAGATTTATTAAATCCAATTTTTCATGTATGATAAGTAGATAATGTACTTAATTAATAAATCTTTTTAAAACTTATTCCCTCATGTTTCCATAATGATTTATACTTTTTTAGATTTTTTTTCGTAACATCTATTTGAAAGCAATATGTCATTATGTAATTTATGCCAAGTTGTAAATATAGTAATATTCATGAATAACTTTCATACTTATTTAACCCTAGTTATTATGACTGTTGTAACCCTTATAGCCATAGTTCTTCTCTATAAATATGGGGTTTTAGTTCTTAATAAAACACATAAGTTCATTAATTTTTTTTTTTACTTTTCCTTTTTTTCTCTCTAGTTTATAACACGTTTTCACCACGACTCTCTCAAAAATTAAATTGGATTAATTAGAAAATAATTTTTTTTTGGTAAGTATAATCATCTATCAGGTGCACTAAATTTAATTTGATGACATGTGAATTTTTTATCAATTCACGGATCCAAATAATATTTCTGTATTGGTTTATGGAATTAAGCAAATACATAGATTGATGATTTATGCATAGCTGTTCTAGTATCTTTTTTACTGCATTTATAATGATTATTTTACTAATGCATGTACTAATCAATCATGATTATTTTATTGTACTATAAATCATGATTATTTTGTATGTTTATCATATCTGTATCCATATCTTATTTGTATATCCTGTTTACATGAATTATTCCTCACCCATTGCGATAGTGAGGATGAAGAATAAGCATCTCACGGAGAATAAACATCCTGCAAATAAGGCCAAAAAATGTTCTTTTTGCAAGGGCAAACATGTCCGACGATTTATCTCTTCATTTTTTCAAGGAACGAGGACTCCAATATACCGCATCTTCCTTTATTCAAGGAACGAGGGCTCCAAGCTGTCTTTGATAATAAGAAATCTACGAGTTAGAGTTCGCAATCGATAATAAGAAAATCATTAGTTAGCCTTGATGAGCGAGGACTTATAGGCTTGCCTCGAATAATAAATACGATGATCAAAACGGGTTCTGAATAAGAAAAATTCGAGTTGGACATTTTATCAAACACTTGTCGTACACCTCGATAACCATATTTTGCCATGAAATCTTCATAATATTGAGAACCATAAAAGGCAGCAAGAAAATGTCCACTTGGTGCCAAATTTAATTTGAGCTCGATAAGAATAAACTGATATTATTCGAATGCTTGATAATGAATCCATGCATAGCTTGCAAGTTATCGGTAAAGTTGCAACAATCTTTCATACTAAATATCTGAAATCTCTAAATTGAAAATTTTCAAACTAGGCAATTTGTTAAACACTTCTGTATGCACTTCCAAATATAATTCCTTTAGCATAAATTAAGTTGGTAGTCCATCCATGACATCATCAAGAATTACAGTAGCACACTTTCACATTTTTTTCACAATTCATCATTGTGGATATTGTTCAACTCATGCACAAATCAAATGGATACCATTGTAGATTTAGTAAGCAAGATAGAAGAATTTTGCCACCTCAAACTTCAACTTCGCCATCAAGGTTCCAATAGCAATAAACGAAAGTTTACTTAGTGCTAAAATAGTTTTGCAAGTCAGCATTGAAAAAATCAATGGAATTTGAGAGCTTAAAGTGAATGCATGTGTCATCCATATAATTGTGTGTGGAGTTCTTCAAATATGCCTTTAGTATTAACAAAATCTCAAGTTTCTGCCATGCTATATCTTAGAAAAAGTTTTAATAATGGATAATGGAGTAATGCCATTTCCCATAATTTTTTTTAAAATAATATAGAATAATATAAATTTTATTTACTACAGTAAGAATGTAAACAAACAGAGAATGCAAACTGAAGAAATATATTATGCGCTAAAAATACTGTAAATCTACAACCTGAGACTTTTGTAAACACGGTTTTCTTAAAACAAATTCATTCCCTCATTGTTGGTGCTTGAGTTTTAGTTTGAGCATCTGTTTTTCAGGATACAACGAAAAATCAGTAGAGTCTGAGCACCGTAGATGCTACTTCGGTTAACTAACTTAACATCTAAACACTATCATCAAAAACTTGAAGAAAGTAAAATTTTTTATGCAAACGAAAGACAATTTTATGCAGAGAAGAGTGATTTCGTGTGTTTACAAAGGAGAAAAAAATAGCTGAATAATAGGCTGTAAAGGAAAATCAACTGGCCACGAGTTATGCCATTAACCACCATTAACCCAACTAATAATCTCTCCGTTAACACCTGAGTTTTAGGAGTTAAGAGAACTTGGAAGGTTTTCATTTGGAAAGATGATAAAATAAAGGCAAAATGTGAAACCTCCTAAGGGCCAATTTTTGGTTCATTCGGTCCGACATTCGTGGATGTAGGTCGCGTCCGGACACAAGTTCAAGGTCCGAAGTCTATTTCAATCCATGATTTACGTCTTTTGAGTGTACACGTGGAGAGAACCTCTATGCTACATATGATTACACTCTTCAAAATTGTAATCACATTTAAAGTGGTCATTGTCTTTATCTATTTTCCTATGTGAGATAACTTTTAAAAAGCTTCTCTTTCAATGCAAAACATCTTCAAATGCAACATTCAATTTCTCATTCACCAAAGTATCATTTTTGGCAAGTAAATATATGATTTCGAACTTGATCTTTCAAAATAACCAAACGTGTCCCGCTTAAAATTTATGCCATTTTTTCTAACAATTCTTCACATGAATGAAAATTGAGAGAGACAGAGAAACGGAGGCATAAAGACTTGGTGATATAGTTCAATGGTTGAAGCCTACATAAGATGGGAATGTATTACTCTTTGAACATTTTCTTGTGAAAGTATATATATTTTACTAGCTGATCAGTAGACACGATGTCTTTGAACTGTTCTGCCTTTTATGTAAAAGATGATATACTCCACATAAGATTCTTTCTGACACAATTTAGTTGTCATTGTTATGTTCTTTATAGCCATGAACATACGCCTTGTTCTATGAGAGTTCATAAAAATTAAGCCCCAGACAATTCTAAGCGGCCCCATTTCTCTCTTACATAGGTGATTTCTTATTACAAGTAACCAACATTACGTAGCTCGATTGTAAATGCATAAGA